ATATTGTCAATTGGTCAATGTCATCATTGCATTGCACTGATGGGATAGAAAAATAAACAAGCAAAACCTTATTCATTAGCAAACGTCATATTTATTTAAATGTTAGCAGCACTGTTTCTTGCACTGTTATGTTGGCAGGTTTGACTCTTACAGTACCTAGTGCAAGCGAAAACCGACACTAAGGTGACGAACCTTTTCATTCTGCGACTGTACAAGGCTGCAAATAAAGTATTTTGTGAACAACCTTAAAATGAAATTATAATAATTGACATTAAATGCTTCTACAGAGGTATTTTTCATACTAAATTAATAAACTGAAACGTTTTGGGAATCTTTGCAGATCGGTCAAGTTTACATTAAATGCTTCTCGGGTCTTTGCGGGTCGGACATGTTTGTACAGATAATGTTTGACATCAGTTGTAGTGCAGCACAATACCTCAATGTTGCGTTCAATATTTATTCGGTCGTCGAGTCGTTTACTGTTGAATTGACACGGTCGAGTGGACGGCTGCGGACACGCGGCGTCTGCCGCTTACATCACCTGAAATGATAGCAACAGTCAGTGTTTTAACTTTTAAAGTATTCAGAAATGTTAGTAAATGATGGAATATTACGGTTATGAATAAACAAACATACAAGAGTATCCATGTTTTTACAAAGACTCTCTTTACAATTTTAGGTGTATTATTGTGACGGCTGTGCTCGCTTAAAAATAACTTGGAACTTTGGAAGGTAGTGCCGGGCAGCAATACGAATATTTGAAGTCAAGCTAAAACTTCGCGTCACGCAAAAATTCCCCTTGACGTAGCTCCAAGTACACTGCAATATTGAACCTTAACTTGTTCGCTCTAAAGTGCACAATACCTGCAGGATCTGACTGACCTCGAAGGCGGTGCCGATCAGCGTGACAAGAATTTGGGAGGCGTGCCAAGAAAAAAATCACCTAAACGTATCTCCAAGTACTTCACAATATTGAACCTTAACTAGTCCACGCTAAGGTGCACAAACCTGCAGGATCTGGCTGGTCTCGAAAGCGGAGCCGGACTGCAGCACGAACACTCAGATTCAAAATAATTCAAATCAAGCAAAAATTAGCTTTAAAATATCTCCAAGTGCTTTGCTATATTGAACCTTAACTTGTTCATTCCAAGGTGTACAATACCTGCAGTGTGTGGTTGGCCTCGAAAAAGGTCCCGGCAGCAGCACGAAAATTTGTCTTTAGGAAACCATAAAAAAGAAGTGACATTCGCAGTTGCGTCAAGCAAACACCTGCCTTAGTGCTACTCCAAATGCCCTGCAATATTGAACCTTATGTCGTTTGCTCTAAGGTGCACATACCTGCAGGATCTGGCTGGCCTCGAAGGCGGTGCCGGGCAACAACACAAATATTTATTCGGGAAACCACAAAAAAGTGACAAAGTTGCGTCAAGCAAAAACCTTCCTTAACGTATCTTCAAGTACTTCACAATATTGAACCTTATATCGTTTGCTCTAAGGTGCACATACCTGCAGGATCTGGCTGGCTTCGAAGAACATTCCGGGATCGCATCAAGCTAAAACTTGCCTTAATGCAACTCCAAATGCACTGCAATATTGGACCTTAACTTGTTCGCTCTAAAGTGCACAATACCTGCAGGATCTGGCTGACCTCAAAGGCGATGGCGGGCAGCAGCACTAACGTTTGGAGTCAGGCTAAAACCTTCCTTAACGTATCTTCAAGTACTTAACAATACTGAACCTTATGTCGTTTGCTCTAAGGTGCACAATACCTGCAGGATCTGGTTGACCTCGAAAGCGGAGCCGGACTGCAGCACGAACACTTGTATTTAAACATTTGAGGCGCGTCAAAAAAAAAACCTGCCTTAACGCAACTCCAAATGCCCTGCAATATTGAACCTTATGTCGTTTGCTCTAAGGTACACAATACCTGCAGGATCTGGCTGGCCTCGAAGGCGGTGCCGAGCAGCAGCGTGACAAGAATTTGGGAGTCGCGTCAAGCAAAAACCTGCCTTAACGCAACTCAATGCCCTGCAATAATGAACCTTATGTTGTTTACTCTAAGGTGCACAATACCTGCAGGATCTGGCTGGCCTCGAAGGCGGTGCCGGGCAGCAGCACGATGGGCGCGGCCACGCGGCCGGCCTCCACGCACACCATGTTTGGAAATTCGTCGTCGCCGAAGTCTGGGATCTCTTTCGCGTACTCCGCCCAGGGGTTCCAGATCACTGAGGAGGAAGACATTACAGTTTTATGCACAAGTTACTAATAAGTTCCAGCTAACCCGTTCATCTGGGCGCAAACATATTTAGCTTATCTAAGCAGTCCGAGATTGACACTGTTGCAGTTGGGCTATTTGTCTCACAATGATATTGGTTGAAAGTGTGAGTTCACATTATTGGCACGGGAGCTGTGTATATTTTGAAGCACTACAAAATGTTGAAAAAAAATAAGTAATACAAATCGGCCATTTTGACTACCCCCACTTCGGTGTGGAATAAATGTTTTAAAAACTGGTTTGAACGCATGCAAAAGTGTATAACTAACCAATTAATCTTTGAATAAATAGGTTTAATAAACGTAGCATTTAGTAGATTCTGAGCTTCGCAGTTTATACCGCCGCAGTTTTTATAGACTACGCAAGTGTGTGCTCTAAAACTTTCGTCATTTGTCATTCTAATTTCCAATCACAAGATGGAATGCAAGAAACTCTGATTATTATCCGAGTATCCACACCAAGCGCTGTGCTATTACATTTTTTATATTATAAACAGGCACATTTTTTGTAACAAGTCTGGCAAAAAATTCAAAAGCTAGTCTTATGAAATGCATACGATCACGGAGTAGAATTATTTTCGGCGTTAACGTGACTCTACCGACAAGATGTGGTCAAGATTCAAAATAAAAATAATTATGTGTATGTCTATAACAATAGTAATTTACCTGTGTCGGGGAAGTTATACTTCTGTATCCGCATCTTGCGGCCGCTGACGACGTTGGTGATGATGTGCTCCTGCATGGTGTTCTGGTAGATGCGGTCCGTCCACTCGTTGATGGTCACCACCTCGCGCGTCTCCTGGTACACCGTGCCTTCCCGCGTCTGGGAACACCAAGTTTGACGTTATTGTTCGTGTTGGAACTGTATAACCCATATTCACAAACTTTACTATGAGGTCTCACAGTGCGCATGGACGCACAGGTCTATTCAACGCTGTGCGTTCGACTTCGCATAGTGTCGCTTCATTTTGTGAATGCATTTGTGAATACATGCAATGCATGTAAAAGAATGCTTTATAAACAATATGGATTTTAAAATTTGAAAATCAGAGCGTATAAAAATAATTAACATCACTAGTCCTGAAAAATGCCCGGCATCTCCCGTATATCCGTTCTATACGATAAGTGTCAACAGGACTATGTTTATCACAGCTAAAACTGAGCGCCCCACTAGCATGTCCTGTACATATCCCTAGCCAGGTGTTTCCTTAGGTAAGCGCAAATGGTTGAGCCATGGTCTGAAAAGGCATTAGGGCGGAGCCGGGAAAGAATGTCAAGCCCTCTAGCTCCGAAAATAACTCGCGGTCCCAATATTTTTTCGTGAGGACACCATTAGGTAGGTAAGCTGCAGGCCCAGTCCTTCTGCCAGGGAGAGTATTACATATCTTATAGGCGTTCACGTACAATTGGCTTCAAATAGTTCGTGACACTGACACCCAAATGGCCAAAAAGACAAATTGTAAAGCCGTTTAAAGACATCCATTTACCGTCTAAAAACGAATAATACTTGTACTTTGTTTGCTGTCAATTTTCTCGCCTCGACATAGGTCCTATGTCCGATTCATGTGCACACGTTCATTATAAACCATACACCACCGCTAAATCAGGCGAAAAAATCGGGCCGTAGTCCAGTCAAAAAACGGATGTTTACAAGCGGCCTAACAAAGACGTGTCAAGAAGTTTTTGGTTATTTTGGGCGTCAGGGACTGTTTGACGCGAACTGTATTTCCTGATGAAAAAAATGGTCTGAAAGGACATATTTTGTTAAGCCTTGGGCAGACCAAACGCACGGCAGTAGCAGCGCAGTTTGAATGCGGGCCCGCGCAAGTTGTATACAAGAAACTCTTTGAAGTATGTCACACCAAATTGGAACGCGGGCTCGCGCTCCAACCGCGCCGCACTGCAACTGCCAAAATACAAACGAGGCGGCGCGAGAGCGGGACAGAAGCGGCGCGAACGAGAGCCCGCGCTGTTGTATTACTATGGCGGCCATATTAGCATGACACACCGGACGCAGGGCGGTAGCAGCGCGTTGAAAGCGGTTTTCGAATATTTAAATTTTTGACAACCGCCCGCGTTGCAACTGCTTTGAAACTGCGCTGCTTTCAGTGTGCCTCAGCCGCGCTGCAACTGACCCGCACTGCTTCTGACCCGCGTTTGGTCTGTGGAAGCCTTTAGTGTTAACGAAGTCTTAACGCACCTTGTCTATGAACATGCATCCGTGCATGCCTGTGATCTGGCAGCGGCGCACGTCGGGCACCTTGAAGTAGGTGTGCAGCAGCAGCTGGCAGCTGAACGTCAGCTCCTTGCTCGGGTTGTACACGCCGATGTTGAAGTGCAACTCCTTCTCGCGCAGGATCAGCCGGTACGTCAGTCTGAACCTGGGGATAAGCAAAGAATCTTAGCAGCAAAACCACAATTAAACATAAACTAAGGCTGGTTTTAGTGTCACTGCTACTTCTAGGCAGCGTTTTAGAGTAATGCGGTCCGGAGCAACCGCTCCGCTCCCTAGCAGTTCATACAGATCGGCTGTGCGAAGCGATCCGCACTGACAGTCCGCGTGACACTAAAACCAGCCTAAGTCTACCAGCAACGAATCTTAGCAGCAAAACCACAATTAAACATAAACTAAGGCTGGTTTTAGTGTCACTGCTACTTCTAGGCAGCGTTTTAGAGTAATGCGGTCCGGAGCAACCGCTCCGCTCCCTAGCAGTTCATACAGATCGGCTGTGCGAAGCGATCCGCACTGACAGTCCGCGTGACACTAAAACCAGCCTAAGTCTACCAATGGCCAAAAGTGGGACATCCACCCACAAGGTGGATCGACGACCTCATAAAGGTAGCAGGAAGGCGCTGGACGCAGGCCGCTACCAACCGGGCAACATGGAAAGCATTGGGGGAGGCCTATGTTCAGCAGTGGACGTCTTATCGTTGAGATGATGAAGTGTACTAATTGAGAACATTACCAACATTAGCCAGTTGTCCCAGCGCAGACGAGAAAGCGGCTGATTGTCGGCTGTTTTCGCGCTCAAGAAACATACGAGTAAGTGTAGGCGTACACTGGGCGACACGCGACTGATTGTCAAGAACAGCCTAGGCGTCAAGTCACCGAGCTATCGCTAAGATAAAGATCCTATGTCAATAATTATTGTTCACACAGACTCCCTCCACTGGTTTGTCGCAAGGCCATGACGACCTCGAGCTAGGGGGACTACTTAAATAAGCTGATGATGACAAATTAGCAATATGGGTAGTCAGCACTCACTAGAAGTACAAAGAGCGCGTGAAATCATCTAAATACAGCTTCCACGTCACTGCTGAGTGCAGTGAAGGCTACAAAAACGTCCTTAAAATGTTTTTTTTTTCCATGTCATCACTTACTGGAAGTGCCACATAGAGCGCGTGAAGCCATCATATACGAGCCTAAAGAATCTCTATATCGCCGCTGGGCGCAGTGAAAATTAACAAATAAGCTGATAATGTAGTTCCTTGTCATCACTTACTGGAAGTGCCACATGGAGCGCGTGAAGTCAACTGAAGTCTTCTTCCATGCAAGGCTGAGTCTCAACGTGCCGTTGCTCTGGGCGTAGTGAAGAATACAAAAACGTCTTTATAATATACATAGTTCCTTGTCATCGCTGATTGGCAGTGCGAGTGCCACACACATGGAGCGTGTGAAGCTATCTGAAGACGGTCACGACGCGGCTGGGCGAAGCGAGGACTACATAAACGACCTGATACAAAAATTAGCTAGTATACTCGTAGTCGTCATTACTTACTGGAAGTGCCACATGGAGAGCGTGAAGTCGTCATTCATGAGGCTGAAGAGTCTATACGTCGCGAGGATTACAAATATATCACCACCCAAGTAACATTTTCGTTCGTTTTCGTTCGTTCGTTTCAGCCAAATGACGTCCACTGCTGGACAAAGGCCTCCCCCAAGGTTTTCCACAATGAACGGTCCTGCGCTGCCCGCATCCAGGCTCTTCCCGCGTCCTTTACCAGATCGTCGGTCCACCTAGTAGGAGGCCTGCCCACGCTACGTTTTCCAGCCCGTGGT